ACCCACCTTCACCAGGGTCAGGGCACCCCAGACCCCCACACACCCACCTTCACCAGGGTCAGGTACTCCACGGTGGCCGCCCGCAGCGCTGGGGACCATTTCCTCACCGCGTCATCACACACCCAGCAGTGGACACCCCTCCGGCCCGAGTACACCCACAGGCAATGCCTCATGCCCAGGTCCTCTGCGGGGGCACAGACGGGTTTGGGGGCACATGGGGATGGACTGTGGTGACCACCCAAAGCTGGCGGTGCCACAAACCCACCGGGCACTGGCGCCTCCCTCAGCCATGCCAGCGTTCTGCCCCGGCCCTTCTTTGAGGTCCGGGCATCGCTGTGGGGCAGAGCGTGGTCTGCACGTGCATGGAGGTCCATGTGTCCCCCCTGGACGTGCACAGGGGTCCGTAGGTGCCCCCCAGCCCCTCACCCGTGAGCGCGCGGTCGATGACGCGGACGGCGATGGTCATCAGCGTCCAGCACTTGGAGCAGATATCGGCCGAGCTGGGGGCAGAGCGCGGTGGGTCAGGCGGCCGCCCCACACCCCCAGACCCTCCTCCCAGCCCAGAACTCCCCCCAGGAACCTGCAGCACGTCCGGACATCATCATAGTCCGTCATGTCGATGTCGAAGACCAGCTCCTTCTCCTGCGGCTGGAAGGCCCCCAAGTGCACCGTGTTGTGCTGGTTGGGCTGCGGGGGGGACGGGACGGGCTCAGTGAACCGGGGACCCCCAGGGACCCCCCCCGAGCACGGTGCCCGGGACTCACTCACCCGGTGGGAGTAGACAGCCCCGATGTCGATCTTGTAGGGGTTGATCTTCTGCAGCTCCCGCTCCAGCTCCTGGGGGCTGCCGAAGGACTGGAACCGCACGTACACGTCGTCCCGCAGCGTGAAGGAGAATTCCCGCAGCTGGAAGTAGTTCTTCACCACTGTGGGGGCGCGGGAGGGTTGGGGGGGAGTGACAATGCCCTCGCCACAATGTCGGTGCCCCCCGCCCAGTATCGATGCCCCCCATCCCGTATTGATGCCCCCATCCCATATCGATACCCCCCGCCCAGTATCGATGCCCCCCACCCAGTATCGATGCCCCCCACCCAGTATCGATGCCCCCCATCCCGTATCAATGCCCCCATCCCATATCGATACCCCCCGCCAAGTATCGATGCCCCCCTCCCGTATTGATCCCCCCATCCCGTATCGATGCCCCCCTCCCGTATCGATGCCCCCCTCCCGTATCAATGCTCCCATCCCATATCGATCCCCCATCCCGTATCGATGCC